AGGATTTTATTATATATAAATTGCACGGGAATTGAAAAAAGTATCGGTTTTGCGAGTTATCGGTTTTGAGCAGTATCAGTTTTTTGAGGTTTGACTGTATATGTTATTTGGACATGTTATATATACGCTATCTGGTTATACTATCGATTATTGCTACAAATATGCATGCTAGATGCAAAGCATCCTACTTTGTAGAGTATATCATGTAAATGCTATCGATAATGCTATCATATATATGCTATCAGGCTATGCTATCAAAAAATGCTATCGAATATGTTATCGAGTATGTTATCGAGTACGTTACATAAATACTATCAAAAAGTATTATGCTATCGAAATGCTATCAAAATATAATCGCTTATGTTCATTATTCTAGAATGCGGTTAAAATAAATCTGCCCACGTCCTAATAAAAAAATCCGTCCAGGTTTCGTCCTAGTAGAAAAAGTTAACTTGGACGGATAATGTTATGAGAGAAAAAGGTTTATTTTTGTTTTAACTTGTTCTTCTATACTTGTACTATTTTCGTCTAAGTTGTCTAGGTAAAAAAATAGAATTCTAGAAAAAAATATCAAACTCTTTCCTATGGTATACGCTATATACAAACCTTTGGTACATATACGACATATACTATATACATACATACCTTTGGTATATATACGACATATACAGTGGTGTTCAAAAAAAATGGCACAAATTTAGTTCGTATATGTGTAACTCGGTCAATTTTCAAAATAAACGCGTAATCAATGGATCAAAACAAAGCTTATGTAATGGACTACCATTTCCAAACAAACTTATTTTCAACTTATTTCGCGCTTTACCCAAAACAAAAGTGTAAAATGTTGCAATCCGTTAACGAAAGACAACGACAAACGATATTATATTATCGGGAGAAGGGCCTTAATCCTATCGAAAATTTTTGGAACATAGTTAAAACAAATGTCTAAAGGCGTAAACCAAAAAACTGTAAGGATTTAGAACAGTTTATGAACTGAAGAGTGGGACAATATTCCAAATACTGTCTTAATTAATTTAATAGATTCGATGAAGCAATTGATGTGAACTAATTATAGAAAATAATGGTGATCGCATCCCATATTAAATAATAAATCAATTAACAGCACCTTTTAGGCTTTCAAATAAATTTAAATCATATTATTTGGAGCAATGTGTAATGAGTTAGAAGAAAATTTGTTTGTGCCATTTTTTTTTGAACACCACTGTACTACATACATATCTTCGGTACATATACGTCATATGCTATATATATATATCTATCTACCTACGCATATGCTCTATACACATAGATAAAAATGTAAGAGTAAAAAAGATCTCAAAATTTACCTGGACAACTTGGACAACTTGGACGGCTAGTCTAAAACCTTTTCTTTTGACTCAAAATCATCATCTAGCTATTTTTTTTTCGTCCAGGAAATCCGTCCAAGAAAAAATTCGTCCAAGAAAAAGTAGACGCGCCCCCCAAAAATCTAGGGCAAACTATATATTTTTTTCTATTGCAGAGCAATGGCTCTTCGAGCCTATCACCCCAACACCGTTTTGCGCCATTTTCTCAAGCTTTTTCCGCTGATAATGATCTTGAAATCTATACTTCCAGCATGAGTTCTGCACGCGCCAAATATATATGACGTTAATTTACCACACTCTTTACATGGTACACGGGTGGGATTCCAGTGAACTCTACATCCCTCTGGTCGATAACAACTCTCGTTACAAACCTTACCAGTTTGGATGATATAAGGGCAACGATAAAATCCCATATATATGTGAAATTCTTTGATAATGTATGTATTATATGTCTAACACTAATTACCCGAAATAATTAATTTTTATTTTGAACTTTTCTCTAACCAATAATATATCATTCGAGAAACATGAGTGAACCTACCAAGAGCCAAGATTTTCAAGAAAGTGTTGATCACGTGTCTGTAGAGGTGGAAGCACCTTCTTACCCGGACCGTCGAGAGCCGGAATTACTGTCGCGACTACCAACACCATTTTTGATGTCGCGAACTTTGTAGCCCATTAGGCTTATATTGCGGTCGAGATCGTTGATTTTTTGTAGCGATTCGGTATTAGCACTTGAGTTTCGCCGTGATTTTTTGATGGCGGACAATTCCGCAGTTATACGGTTTTCCACTCTTCAAGTATTTAGGTATAATACCAGTGATTGGACCAGCATGAACGCGATGAGCACGAAAAAATCTGAATTGATTGAGAACATTTTTTGCGTATTATGTTTTGGGTAATTTCACGGTTTGATCTTGCAGAACAAGGAATATGTGATTGTTGTAATGAAATTTGCGTGCGTTTTGAGTTGTATCGTAAATTGTTCTAAGGACGAACCTGCGGATATCGTTTACGAAATTGACGTGTTTTATAGAGTTCATGGTGGCACTTGGAGGATGAAGTGAAATCTCGCTCATTTCTTTGTGTATAACTCCTAGAAAGCCAATTCGTCGCCCATTATGAATTCGTGCGCAAAACAACATTTTAGTTGGGCAAATCTATTGCAATTAATGGATTAGCATCTGGATAATAAATATAAAATGAAACATGTCTTGTTAGTGGTTCGCAATTCTGGATCAGATTCAGCAAAGCGGACTTTCGCTGTGATTGGATAATCATGAAATGTAACACAACATAGTGTCCGTCTATCATCATCTGACTTTAAACGATTTGGTGGCCACGGAAAACAATTGGCCAAGAACATGGCTAACAAATTTCGAAACCGCACCTTCCATTTTGCAAACTATGAAAGTAATTCGAAAAACGGCGAGGTAATTCGCAACTTAGCTACTAATACTAACGCTGCACTCTATAGTTTTTAGTGAACACTACATTGCAAAGAACGTAAACCTTTAGAACACTCCTTTTTTTCTGCACGATACTGTCTCCAGCAACGACCATAAGGTAAGAGAAAGTACGACACTGTGATGTAGAGAATATGGGAAAGGTTATATGGGATTATGAACTGCACGGTGCTACATTGTGTCAGACAGAGTAACTATTCCAGAGGTGATAGTGAATAAACATTTAAACTTGGTTTGTAAGGCGTTATGCAGAAATCCAAAAGACTAACGCATGTTCTTATCCCAAGCATGATATATGGAATCTACAGCACATCCAGAATGCTTAACCAACTTCAAGTTGTCGCATACGATAGTGTGTCGTTACTGCTTATATAAATCCCGAATATATAGATGTATCTGATTATCTGCTGCCATTTGAGAAGCTATCGGATGAATATATCAAGAAATCAAGGTAGTCATATGTATTATGCAGCGAAATCACTCACTCTCGAATCTGCATATGTATGGGCTTTATATTCAAATGTTAACTGATCATACTCTGAGTAGGAAGATTAAGCCGATGCTAACATTTGTATTCAAAGAAAGGAAGGAAAATCGGAACCCTCAAGGATTTCAGGCTATGCTGGGAAATGCTGAATCATCTTTAGCAAACTTTTTGACCAGCTATATTAGATACTTCTATAGATCTCATCTTTTATCAATAATAAAATTAGCGCTATTTTTTTAATCGACCAATAAAATTTCATCAAAAACCATCCAATCACAGTGAAAGCCCGCTTTGCTTTATGATTCACATTTCCGTGCATTTGTATTACTTGTGTTACATAGCCTTCAGAACCCTGATCATTTCGGGTTAGCAGTAATCAAAAATCACGTGTGAGACAAGCTTACTTTATTTGGGTTATATGATACGAAAATAAACCACGGAACTGAAAAAAACTATATTTCACATTAATTGATTCTCTGCCTTTTCTCTGCCATATTCAGCTTTCCAGCTATTACTATACAAATCCACCAAAAAATCATATATAATTCGAAATGTCTGTTACTTTGGTCTGTTTGGTTAAAGGAAACTTGCCTGCAAATGCTTTCACTGTTGATATTGATAGTGGCAAGTTAGTGAGCCACCTAAAAAAAGTTATCAAGGCTGAGCTTCACCCACAGTTCAAGCATGTTACAGTCAAAGACATCAAGCTGTGGAAGATGGAAATCCCAGCCAATCGTGTTGACCTTATTCAAGGACAACCTCAACTTTTACAAGATAATGACCAGTTAAAGGCAACAGACTATATCGATAATTACTGGACTCTCACCCCAAAAAGAAGGCACATCCATGTAATTGTTGAGGCCCCTACTGGTAATTAATTATCTTGCTTACTGCTCATGCCACACATTAAATTCCCTCACTGTCATTGTATTTTGGTATACTGTTTGTGACATTGACTAACTTGTGGTTTTTTTCTTTCCTGCTTCTTATCGTCAACACCACTCATGTGACCGTTTAAGCTCCCATTGCCACCGGTGAGTGAGTTGTATAAGATTAGTCAACACATTGAATGTGACCTTTTAATAGCTGTTCTTGGTTTGATTATAGGTTATACTTAACTTTTCCTTTTTTGGTTGTGTTTATGTGCAGATGATTTGGGAAGTATAATGAAAATTATCAATCAACTGAGAACAACTTTAGGTGATGTATATGAATTGTCAGCACGTTCCAAAGTATCAAAAGTCCAAGGTCCACATTACACTTCGAAATTTGAAATTGTTGATCTTAATGGATTGGTGAGGCTTGCATTACTGCGAAAAGTACTTCCATCTGAAAATCCAGTGTATTCCTCTCAGGCATTTGTTTCGTCATATCAGGTTCATAAACTTTCAAACTACACTACCTGGACAAAAGTATTGGCCACCCTAACTTTATTAATTGTTCAAAAGTGTACATAATAATTGGGACTAAA